TAGCAGAGTCCAGGAGAGGAAAGGAAATAAAGAAGAAGTAGTTGTTATACCCTGTATTTGATTGCACAGGTGTGTATATTTCCTATTGTATTCCTAGTTATTATTGTGGGAAAGAAATCCCAAACTCTGAAACCAACCTCAGAAGATCTGTTGTTTTTACTGAGTGCTAAAAAAGCTGCTTTATAATATAATCTTTCAAAAACCAGCTAGAGTTTTCATTTAAAAATGAAGAAAGCTATTTTTTCTAGAACAACTCTCAGACGTTTCAGTCTGAATTTTCACACCTTGAAGTGAGGTTTTAGTGCTATCTCCAGACAGCTGTGTCAGAGTGTCTCTGTAAGGATGCAAAGGTGTTAACTTCTGCCTCGGGCTATGTAAACAGAGACGCCAAGTCCAAAAGCGCCAGACAACATCCCCTGGCACTCAAATAAAAAAAATATTAATAAAAAAATGAGGAAACTGTCTCTAAAGCTCCAATAAAAGAAAAGTTCTCTATCCACCCCTTTGAGACCACATTACTGGTACTCAAACGAGTGTTAAAGTGTCATTGACATAAAGGGAGAAGGCTTTGCAAAAAAAAAAGCAAATAACTTCATTTAAATATGCAAAACAAACAATTAAAACATCCTTGGTGGCCGTTCCGCCGACAGCAGAGAAGTGAAGGCTACTGTGGCACTTAAACCAGTGTGAAATGACAGATGAGAGAGCAAACACACGAAAGGTCGAGAACCTTTGCATACTAAGAGAGGAGAGTTTGTTGTAACTTGAGTGCTGCTTGTCAGAGACAATGCTGCTGTTTTTAAAGCTAAAGTCCCTGAAAGGTTTCTGTGAGAATCTTTTCTCATATTTTTATGGGTTTTGCAATAAAACAGAAAACTGCAGCACTTGTAGGATAAATGTGATATTATGACAAACTTGTGCTATTATCAAAAAAATAAATAATAAAAAACCAAGATAGCATTTCTGGATGATTTCTTCTTACTGCTGCACCCCCCATCCACCATCTCACTGACAGTGAGACACATAATCAGGTTTTGTGAGATTTGTGCCCAGATTAGCAGCCACCTTCCCCTCAGATAAGAAGCTGCTCTGATAAAGCCTGTCCTGGGAGGCACACGGCTGTGATGAAACACCATATCTGACACCAACAGATCTGTTAAGAACACAATTAAGACACTGTCTAGTCATATCTACCTTCACTTATCCCCGCTGATCTCTCTGCTCTTGGATTTGGGATGCGGTAGAAAAATTCTGACTAAAGCTATAATCCATGACAAACTAGAACTGGACAAAGTAAGGTCTTTTCTAAACATTTCCTCGATCCATACAGCTTTAGATGTCAGTCATTCATGGTGTGTTTACTTCTATCTCTCTTTTTTCCCCACAAGCATTGGTTGTTTCGTTCAAATTTAGGAGCATTTTCATGTTGGTGCAAAAATCACTCTCGAGTGTTTCCTCATAATATGCCTCAAAGTTCTCTTAAAGAGATGAAGGACACCAGCATGCTGCTTTAAGGGCCAAGTACAATGTGGCAAGGTGGAGAAATGAGGGCCCGGGCAGGATTTGATCCCCAGGCTCCTGGGTGACAGTCAAGCGGGCTAACCAGTCAGCCAAAGGGATATCTCCTTGGCCAAGTAGCCAGGGGACATGATCAATCGAGATACCGTGACAGGACACTCACCCTGTCACAATAAGAAAACCACATGGAGCCATTTTTCAACACAGGGTTCAATTTTGGCAACAGAGCAAACTTTATTGAGTTTGACAAAAGCTTGGTTTTACAACTTACATGCACACAATATTGCAGGAAGTTTGAGTCACAGCTCTTCCTTGTGGTGGCTAAAAGATACTGCAACTTAACTCAACAGTTACATTGCACAAACTGCAAATGCATCTGGGGCTAAAAGACAGAGATGAGGTAATGACGTAATTTTGGCGCGCGGAGCTGTGCGGACCTCGCGGACGCGTCAAGCATGAACCAACCTTAACTCAGGGTGACGATGGTGGAGGAGTTAAGTAAGTGTTGCAGTCTTTGTGTCCTTGAGCAAGACACTAAGCCCACGTTGCCTGCTAGCGGTGGTCGGAGGGAATGTAGTGCACTCCAGGGCAGCTGTGGTTACAATATAGCTCACCACCAAGGTGTGATCGCGTGTGTGTATTGGTGAATAACTGGTTCACTCAGTTGTAAAGAACCTTGGGGTGGGAGGGGGGGGGGGGGGGGGGTTGGGTTGTAAAACCCAATAAGGTGCTAAATAAATACAGGACATTCAGCATTAACCATTCAACTGTGGCCCCTTCAGATGTGTGCTTGAGTTCCCCTGGTGTAGAGTAAATAACTTAATCACCACTTGCTTATGAGCACATCAGCACTGCAGCAACATTAGCCCCTGCAGAGGAAAGTCATGAGTCATTTATTCAAATGTCAATAATAATTTTTGTGATTGTTTATGAACATACTCGTAAAAACCATGGAGATAATTAACAGAAAGGTGTGTTATTTTGTATTAGTGTTAGGTGCTCACACACTGCAGTTTCTTTCAACTGCGATATAACTGTGTTTAGTAATACTGCCAGAGTTCAGCACAAATGTAAAAAGTGATAATTTTTATGTTTATGTGTATATTAATTTTATTGTCTGCGTGAGCATGCGATAAGGATGAACACCTTCAGAAACTAGTTTTATGAATAAAAAATAAAGAAAACTATCTGAAAACATCTAAAAGTTTCTTTGCATTGTAAACTTTTATTCATAACACATAACTTTCACTCAACTTCTGGTTTCATATCTCTTGAGCCGGCCTTTTACTGAGCTGTAACTGTTGGTGATGAGATTTGTTTCAAAAACATCTCAAAATGTTCTCCAGGTTTCTTGACTTCCATGCATTAGTTGCAGTCGCTAGTATTAAGTACATTTATAACAGGTTCAGAAAATTGTACAACACAGTTTTTACCAAAGTCACACTTGTGTCTTATTGGTCTGTCCCCCCAACCACCCGCTCACATTTGTTTTATTGAATCACAACCTCTAATTTCATCTTTACGCGAGCGAGTCTTGCAGTGCTTCGGATGTTGCTTGTGTTTTTGCTCCAAACGAGGCATGATGTGTTGCTTTTTGAAATCTTTTAGCTTCATCAAGCAGGCTTTATTGAAGTGATTTATTAATTCTACAGATCTGGAAATAAAAAAACTGTTGTAAATAGTATTTTAGCTCCACTTTATTAAGTCAAACAGGGACCAGACCACCGCTCTGAAGGTGCAAGTGTGGTATTTTTGGCCATAGAGGACGGTGGGGTCTGAGTTACATTTCATTAACCCTGTAAAGGGTCATTTTAGCACATACTGGTTCAAGAAAATGATATAAAAATATGAAAACTTTGCATTGTATGTGTTTAATTCCACTTAAAGTTTTCCACACTTTCTTGCAATTTTGCATCTCTGACCATCTCCAGCAATCTCCAGCCTAGACACTGTGATACTAGCCTGATCCCTTTTAGTGACTCACATTAACCCCATATCGATGACTCAGAACTGTCTCAGGCTTTCCTCTGTAGACGATGACTGCTCCCCAAGAGCATACAAATGTGTTTTGTGGTAAAAAAAAAAAAACTCCCAGATTGGATCAGCTGAATGTGTCTGGATAAACTTGCAGCTACAAATCCAAACAACAAATTCCCGTTTACAGTGGATGAAATGATTAAAAACAGCACGGGTGTTTACGTTAGCGTCTGCATTGCTGGTATGCATTTATGTTTTGGATTTAGCATTCTGCAGTGGTGGGTGAATTTTTGTGCAGCTGGAGTGACTCTTTAGTAACCACTATCTGTTAGAGCCCAACAGAACAGCACTTATCAAAAGCATCCTCTGTATGAATCTTTATCGTGATGCATTTTTTTCGCCTTTCAATAACAAATTCCTCAGAATTCAGCAAAAATGTGTTTGCATATTGCGGCTGTGCGTTCAGCGGGTGCAGGAGGAGGTCTGTCACTCACTACAGAATGACAGCTCCATGTAAGAAGAAAATGCACAGAGACGTTTTAGTTTCAAATAAAAAAAAACTACTTCTGCTCCCATCAGCGATGCCTGTACGAGCCCTCTGGTAACGTCTTACGTCTGCATCAAATCACAAGAAATTTCCCTTGCCTCTGTTCTGTAACAGATCTCTCTCAAAGACGGCCCTCGGGGAATCATTATCTCACTAAAACACCACAAAGGGACTCACTGCTTCCTTCCACTTCTTCTCTAATCCACGTCCATTATTCAGACGGAGTCAAAACTAAAGGGAGAACTGGGAAAAACCCCGCTGTCTCATTCTAGATCATTAAGAAGATGTCAAACAGCTTCGTTATTTCACATTCCAGTATCTGCTTGCACTAAAAGCCCCAGCACACTTAATAAAGCATCACTTAACACAGTAAATATGCACAAACACAGATAATAAAGATATATTTCCCGCAATAGTCCATCCATGTTTGTAATGGTGAGGCGGTCAGGTGCGCGTAACCTGATCTGGATGCTGCTTGAGTGAACAAACATGGATGAAAAGTGACAAGGTGTGATTAGTTTATCCGTTAAGTTGTTGGCAGATGGGTCTTTTGTCGGGATAATTTGTTCAACAGAATAACCAGGTAGATAATTACATGTTGCTTTAGTGGCAGTTAGAACCATTGTGTGAAAAAAGTGTGTGTGTGTGTGTGTGTGTGTGTGTGTGTGTGTGTGTGTGTGTGTGTGGGTCCAAACAGTAAATAATTTGGGAAGCATTATGAATTTGACCCAAGGCCAAAAGATTTGTTTTCCTTGTGTAAACAAACTTTAATTTGATTCAAACGGACCTATTCGGTTTTACAGTGTAATAGGATCACAAGTTCGGGTCTTGACAGGCCTAAGGAGTTCCATCAGATTAGACCTTAACTCATCCGGGGTGCAAATAAACATGATAGGGTTTTAAGAGTTTGGAGCGGAAAGGGGGTGTGGCGAGGGTGTTGGGTTTCGTGTCAAACCACCTGGTGAGGAGGGTATTAAGGCGCGCTGGTTCTGGGTGCCAGAACAGAACACTGCACCCAACTCAGTCAGGTTTAATTCTCCACATCAGCCTATGGAGAGCAGGATCAGACCCCTGGCCCTGGCAGGGCACGCCAGTAACCCGCTCGGTGCTCTACCAGTGCCCCCTTCCCTCCTGCGCCACCAGCCACTCTTCCTCCGGGCCTGCACCCCCGCGATGGAGAGGGGATACCCGCGGACCCCGAAGTGTGCCAGATGTAGGAACCACGGCGTGGTGTCGGCGCTCAAAGGCCACAAGCGCTTCTGCCGTTGGAGAGACTGCGTGTGCGCAAAGTGCACCCTAATAGCGGAGAGGCAGCGGGTGATGGCTGCGCAGGTGGCGCTGAGGCGGCAGCAGGCGCAGGAGGAGAGCGAAGCACGGGAACTACGACTCATGTACCCGGACTCTGGGATCGGAGGGCAGGGATCCCCTCTGGGCCGAGGGCTGCCAGCTGCTAACAGCAACACCCCAGCAGCTGCGGGGCTGGACGCTTTGGGGACTCAGAGCCACAAAGACGGTGAGTTTGTATGATGTGTTTGTGAGATACTTAATTTCCTCTTTTAAATTTAATTATAAATTACCAATCCGCTGTACAACTTTTACGCACTGGATGGATTTTACGCACAGCCTCGAGGTAATAAAAACTAATCACTTTCCATTTTATCCACATTTCAGATGATAAAGTGAACAAGTACAACTTCTACAACGGATTTATGGGTCAGTCCCTCTTCGCGTCTCATGGTGCGCGGACCTCTCCCAGTAACCAGGATTTGTCTCCGATCAGTGGGAGCTCGGTTGCGCACCCCGGGAACAGTGGAAGTCCATCACCGCCCTGCGATCGGCTCTCAGACCACTCACAGAGTCCTCTGTCCTCCTCGGACCCAGAGTCTGGGAGCGAATCGGAGAAGCCGTTTCTGGACCGTGACCCCACCGACATCTTGGCCAAGATCTTCCCCCACCAGAGGCGGGACGCCCTGGAATCTATGGTGAGAACGTGTAAAGGTAACATAGTGAAATCCATCGAGCTGGTGCTGAACTCCAAAGATGGGAAGAAAGACTCTGGGAGTGAGTCTCCGAGCACCAGGCCTTCTGGAGCGCTTGGTGCGCTTGGGACCAACAAGTCGGCCTTCTCCCCGCTCCATCCCCCCGCACTCCCCGGTGGAGACGGCCTGTACGGGCTCAGTCCGCGGCTTGGTGTGAGCCCGCTGCGGCTGGCCTACTCCTCTGGAGGTGGCAGCATGACGGGTTTTATGTCACCGTACATGACATCAGGACTGATGCCGCTGCTGACTCTGCGTCCGCCGCTTGACTCCCACCCGTTCCCGGGAGTGATTCGAGACATTTCATACATCCAGAACAAGGAGTCCCTGTGCAGCGCTTCTGGTCTTTACGCACGACTTAATGACAAATAAGAACGAACTGTGATGGTTTATGGATTCGGTCATGGGTCAAAACCAGGTTTTCATTAAAAATAAATATTGTTATACTTTTTTATTTTTTGCATTTTATGTAAAAAGTTGATGAATATCTCTGTTTCAATAAAGTCATCTTGTTTTATTTGTAAACCATCCATCCATCCATCACCCGTCATCCATATATGTTGGCTGATCCAGTTTAGTTTGTGATTCGTGCCTTACAAAGTTGGGAAAGTGTACAAGTGGAGTAAAAACGAAAGATTAGCAAAAAGCAGCAGAATAAAATGATTAGAAAAACAATGTAAAGATTTAAGAATTTACCTTTTGGTGTTACATTTCATGTGTCAAGCTGTGTTTTCTTATGGACTCAACTAAATAAATAGCAACAAACACATCGTTCTGAGAGAATGTGCCTATTGAAGCAATTTAAAAAATTGCACTGTAACAGTCTGTCAACATAATTTTGTGTTAATGAGGGAATCTATGAGTTAAGTGGTTCATCAATCAATCGACCGACCGATCGATCGATCGATCAAACAATAAATCAATCTTCATTTGTTGAAGTAGAGGGGCAAAATGTGAGGTAAAACAGCAAAAGTCTAATAAAATTGTAAACAAATGTTTAAAAACATTGTAGTTTACCTTTAAAACAGTAAAGTCGTGCATCATTGAAACAAACTTAAAGAAAACAGGGATTACTCAAGACATTCTGACAGTTCTGTAACCTATAAATTAATTACTATCTATAAATGTTTGTCTCTAGTATTTGTAATTATTATTTACTCGAAACATTGGGACAAAAATATTCCCAACTTACTTTGTTTTAAAGTAAAATCTGGTGAAACAACACTTAAGTTTGCACTGTAGTATACAGGAAAAACAATAGAATCATTCCAGAATAAAAGCACCGCTGTTCTCGCTTGTGATTGGTCCAAACCACCACCATGCCTCCCGTACAGACTAATAAAATAACCGAAAGGCGTCACGTGACCACGTATTTCCGGAAGTAAGAGCATGTCCGGCTCAAATGTAAAGAGCGTATGAGTTTGAAACGTCTTTGAGCGGGACTTACACGAGTCAGCGCGCTGACAGCTCATTATTCTGCCCTCTGACATGCATTTCCACATCATTATTGCTGCGTGTATATGCTCTGGTGTTGTGGACTCGTGGAAAATCAGAGGAATATCCTCGTCCTGTAAGTTGCTTTGGACCCGTTTAGCTTAGAGCTAATAGAAGTGGGAGACATTGGGTTTGTGGACAAGTTCGTGTGCAGGAGAGAAAGTGGTTCGCTAATTGCATTAAGTCCGCTGTCGCTTTGGTGTTCTACAGCTGTTAGTAGTTTTTAAATGTAATGGCAGCAAAGGCATCCCACATGCAACGTGGAATCAGCAGTTCATTATTGTTCGCGATAAGTTGGACTTATGCTGTTTGTCCCTCCTTGTTGCCGTAGCTCCGGATCATTGACTAGACGTTTTTCCTGACAGATAAAAGGTTCTACAGGGAGAGAAAATCGTTTCTATGCATCGATGGATCCAAAATGATTCCATTCGAGCAGGTGAACGATGACTACTGCGACTGCGCAGACGGCTCTGATGAACCAGGTATTCTAACACCACAGTCATACACTTTAAACTGAATACTGCAGTTAACTTGTGACGTAGTGTTGGGAAAGTTCTTTATAAAAACAAACTAGTTCTAAGTTCAATTAATACATTTTAAAAATAACTAGTTATTTTTTTTAGCTAATCGTTAAAGTTTTTTTTAAACTTTGTTCACTGTTCCAAAACGAACTAGCTCATAGTTCTTGTCACACACACACACACACACACACACACACACACACACACACACACACACACACACACACACACACACACACACACACACACACACACACAGGTCCTTCTAAAAAATTAGCATATTGTGATAAAGTTCATTATTTTCTGTAATATACTGATAAACATTAGACTTTCATATATATTAGATTCATTACACACAACTGAAGTAGTTCAAGCCTTTTATTGTTTCTAATATTGATGATTTTGGAATACAGCTCATGCAAACCCAAAATTCCACAGGTCACAATTGACAGTCTGATAAACTCTATGCGAACAAGATGTGTTGCAATGCATGAGGCAAATGGTGGGCACACCAGATACTGACCCCAATCAAGCAAAAAAACTGCACATTCCAGGGTGGCCTTTTATTGTGGGCAGTATAAGGGACACCTGCACACTACTCATGATGTCCAATCAGCATCTTGATGTGGCACACCTTTGAGGTGGGATGGATTATCTCAGCAAAGCACAGGTGCTCACTATCACACATTTAGACTGACTTGTGAACAATGTTTGAGAGAAATGGTAATGTGTATCTGGAATGAATTTTTCAGTCCATCTCATGAAAAATCGGAGCAGAATCAAAGGTGTTGCGTTTATATTTTTGTTGAGTGTGTATATATACACAACTTGCTGACATTTCTATCTTTAAAACTGCAACACTTATTGTTTTTTATTTATAAAATGTTAAAAAGCATCATTTTTTGGAAGGAGGATATAAGTAGGGCTGCAGCTAACGAATATTTTTGTAATGGAGTACTCTATCGAATCTTTTATCGATTAATCGAGTACTCTAATAAATTACTCTTTTGCGTTTTTAAACCATTATATCAAATAGCATTTTATAAAATATGAAAGACCTCTTGAAATGAGAAAGCAATAGCCAGTTATTCTTCAAGTTTTATTCAAAATTAGTTTTCAAAACTTCAGCACTTCAACTTTACTTCACAGTAAACGAGCGACTGCGGCCCAAACAGCACCAGAACCGCTCAAGGCGCATGAGCAAACATGGCTCGCCAGCTGTTTCCCTATTAACACACGTTCGTTTTAATTTCTACACTTTTTTTGTCTCACACTAACAAGGATTGTCGAAAGCATGTTTGCCGTGGTTATGTCAAATTATACTGATCACACAACATTTATTTACTTTCTTTCGTTTTCCTCCGCCACTCATAAATACCTGTGTCGTCCTGCAGCAATCCTGAGGGACAACGGACATCAATAACAACGCAATAAAAAGTCAGACATATTGTGTAAAAACTGCTATTTTTAGCACATTTTAAGTCCGATGTGTTGCTACCAGATGTACGGTGTGAGCTGAAACTGAGTGCTAGAAAATGAAGAAGTCGCACAGTGTCTGCAGAATATATAGAAATACAGGCTAAAATGCATTATCTTGTAGAGGCTCCGAGTCTGCTCGCAGAAGTGACATTTACATGTGGATGCTTCCTGGTCAGGTTGCAGCATCGAGGAATGTGGTGTAGGGCTGCAACAACGAATCGATAAATTCGATGAAAATCGATTACTAAAAGCGTTGGCAACGAATTGCGTCATCGATTCGTTGTGTCGCACAACTCTTCCAAAAGCGCCCCCCCCCCCCCCTTCCCGCCCGCCGTTGCGCGCAGACAGATCAGCGCGAGGGAGAGCCGGCAGTTGTTTGGAAGAGGAACATGGCAGAAGCAGCGAGAGTCAAACAAGTAAAAGCTTTTTAAGTTTGGGAGCATTTTCAGTTAAATCAGGCGAAGACATGCGTTACCTGCAACGTTTAGGTCAGAGCATGGCACGGGATGATGCAGCGTCTTAAACGCAAGCATGTCGGGTTCATTAGCGAGGAAGGAGAGAACTCTGTGTCCGGGTAAATTAAAAACTTTTCAAAAGTGATTCATCCAAGTCCCGGATTATTACACAGGCTAGACATGCCCTAAGCTCGTAAAAAAAGAGTCTAAAGTCGTGAGTGCGACGCTTATTAGATGAGCGGGGGGGGGGGGGGGGGGGGGAGGGGGACGACTCGCGCTGCTGCGAACCGGTTCTGACACAACACCGGATTAACTGGGCAATTGCCCAGGGCCCACAAACTCTAAAGGGCCCAGGGCATGAGCAAAATACTGTATCTATAATTTCCCGCTTTATGAGGACTATGGTGACTGTACGTTCCGTTTTCCCCGGACATGTCCACTTTTCACTCTCTGTCCGGCGCGTCTGGACTGCGGGTTCTTGTATTGATGAAAATGTCCGGCTTTTCATCCAGGAGCAGGGATCGAATTATGGGGGAGCTGTATATCCTGCACATCCAGGGAGCCGGAAAAAAGTTTTCTATATTATATCATTTTTGGACTCTTGTGAGCAGAGAGCGGCACAGCGCATTGTTGCGCAGCGATCCAGGCAGCTGCTTCCAGCGTGTGGTCCATTCTCAAAGTGGCGCAACCAAAAAACTATAATTAGCACACGATCGTTCATGTCTGCACATGTTCTCTATTTTCTGTCTTATTTGTGCCTGCAGACTGCGGAGCTCATCACCTGTGCTGCGGTGATTTCACCTCACGCAGCATCGAAAACGCGCTCTGCGCTTTGCGGTCAGGAGATCCCTTTATCTGCTCAGAAGTAACTGATGAGGTGAAAAACTAAGAATCCAGGCAGCAGTTTTTCTGGAGAATTAAGAGGAGATGCAGGAAGACGAGAGACAGACAGGACAGGAAAATAGTTCAATAAAAACAACAAAACGAAACAAAGTGTTGAAAAGTAAAATGTTGATAGATTTATCTACACTACACGTTTTTACCTGTATAAAACAATAAGTTACACACATGTAGCATTTATAAATTTGATACTATTCAGGTCACCTTCAACACTCAGTCACACACCCAGGGCCGTTTCAAGACCTTTTGGGGGCCAAGGCAAAATGCGCCCCCCCCCCCCATAACTGGGCTCCCCAGAAGCCTCTGTGTAATTCATACCCTCTCCAGTAGTGTTAGTTATACAGTGTTTATAAAAGCCCCTCAGGCATTACTGACATGTTCTAATATTATCAGATGAAAAACTAAATTATCAGACATGCTGTCTCATCTGCTGCTTTTATAAACTTGCAGAAAGTAACAAAACCATTTGAAAGCCACTATTTGTGGATTCTCTGAAAGTTTCCATGGAGTGTGTGACAACTTATTTTTTCAGTCATTTTTGGAAATAGTGATCAATTTTGATTAATTCACAGCCTATGTTTAATTACATTTAAAATTTAGTTGTTTGACATCCCCAGTTATGATAAATGTCTACAGATGAGATGAAACAAAACAGATGAGAATTGCCCTTAAGCTGATTAATTGGACCAAGCATTTTAGGTCACAGATAGATGTAGCTTAGGGTCTCTGTCTATACACCTTATAAGACAATTTAGGTGATGGCATGTTGTTTTTCTGCTATTGAACTGTTTTCTAATAATGTTGTGTTTAATAAAGTGAAGGAAGGAGAGAAATAACGTTTCCCTAGCAGTTTTTAAAAATTTCCCCATGTAATCCGATTAATCGATTAATCGTGTCGAGACCCCATCCGATTCATCGATTATCCAAATAATCGTTTGTTGCAGCCCTAATGTGGTGTTGTGGTAGGCTAAATCCATTTTACAGTATTTACACTGGACTACGTTTTCCGCCTTACGACGTGAAAATTGGTCCCACACCTTTGACATTTTCTGTCTTTTTCGCACTTCACCGGGGTCCACATTGTCCGCCATGACTTAAAAGAAAGTTAAGTTGCGTTCGCTACTCGCGTGTGCATTCAGTGCAGTGTGTATGTGCATCACTTATTTCGGTCCGGGTGAAACATGACCCCGGGCGATTGCAAAGCCATGAATTAAATAAACATGAATTAAACGAAGCTTCGAGGCAGAGAATTTGACTCGAGGATTTTTTGTACTCGAATTATTCGAGGTACTCGAGGAATCGTTTCAGCCCTAGATATAAGGTTTTCCTCTGAATGTTCTCCGTGTTTTCCAGGAGAGGGGTTTGTAGTGTGTGGTTTTCTGAATGGGTCATTAATTAAACGCAGCTGTAGCCAGCATCAGTATGAGCACCGTAATGAACCTCTTAACCCACTACACACAAAAGGAGCAGAACAAGGTAGAGATTAATGAAGCCAAACTCAACATAGTGAGTGTAATTATTAAAACAGCTGCAGGACTGACCTCCTTTATTTTCAGCCTTTGTTTTCTTCTGATTTCCAGAGAAATATAATTTTGAAATGCCAAAACAATGTATTGGTTTAATAAGATGACTAAGATGCAGGTGTTGTTATTAGGGGTTGTATATCACTAGTTTAATTTCGATACAGGTGATTGAGATTTGAAGTTTTGCGATATCTCAAATTCAATCACACCAGAGAGATGAAGAAACCACCCTTCGTCACAATTTTTGACAGGTCTATTGTTCTTTGACCTTTATGACCTTTCCCCCAAACCACCTTACGTCAAATTTGACAGGTGTATTGTTTTATGACCTTTTGTGATATGACCTTTAATGACCCCATATGTCATAAATTGATGACCGTTGTGTAATGACCCATGAAGTTATTGATTATAGTCCCCAAGACCCCTTCTGTCAAGATGTATATTGATGATCTACTTTGATGTATTCAATCTGCACCACTTTACGTTCACTTTCAGAAAAGGTCTAAGTAAGGAATTTATGATGACTCCCAATCATTTCACTTACCTTTGTTCTGTAAATGCATCTAATACATGGGAATCAGTGGTCGGGGGATAGAGCCCTGCA